CTATACATTCGTGTGTACTTTCTTCATATTAGCATTTCCAATCATGAATACTCACTAAGATACTGTGCCATTGAGATAGAAGTATTTTCCACATAGGAATATTCTTAACATGACCGTACTCTTGGCACACACGCACTGTTCTATAACATATTATTTTGAATATAATGATATACATTATGGCACAACACATAAAGGTGCAGCTTAGTATGATACCACTAGAGGTCATGCAAATAGTTATGCTACTAGAACCTTCATATAACACGACCATAGGAATATCCGGATTGTGGACCATTGAGAATCCAAACACCTTAGTACGGTTTAAGCTACTGCTGTAGAATACTCATGCACTTCATATAACAATAGTACAATTGCATCGAGGTGCAGCACCACCATAAGGAACGCACACCAATATTTTGCAAAGAATACCCGAATTTGCTTTGTTCTCTTGAAATAACGAGACGATGAACATGTCAGTGCTGTTGGGATATGAGTACTAGGGACACGTCAATAGCTTTCCTACAATAAAACTGCAGGAGATCCCTACTCTTGACACAACTTCCGTTTTCAATTAACAATAATATCCAGGTAACACTATTTTTCACATAATAGTATTCCATGAACATCATCACTTCTAAAGCAATGATACACCAGAGATAGAAGTGCCCTTTCAAACATCGGTATATTATTCCTGTTTTCTAATGCAACCACATCAGTATGGTCCTGATATTTACACTTCACATAGGTGGCCATCCTGATAAATAGTCGAAGAAGGAAAATATCTTCATAATGATTCCACATAGAAAGAAAAGGAAATAGGTAGATCAGAATATTACGGAGTAAGGAATTCTAATAAGGAAGCATGACATACAGTATAACATATCAACGAGGATGCACTCAGGATGACACCTTCACAATGATGTGACCTCAGGAAACATTTTCACAATAATCGAGGCAAAAGAATATCTTCAAAGAGACAGAAGAAGAAAACGTCGAGGACATACCAGGAGGAGAAAGAATCTTCATAAAAAAAATAAAGAACGGAACAGAATCTTAACC